GCTTCCCATAAGAAGAATCCACAGATGATCACCATCTCCACCACCAGAAAGCTACTTATTCAATGGGGTAAGTTTCCCCTCTTTAACTCTCTCTCTCTCCTCTTTCTCGGGAAAATATGTTTTCTAGGATAAACAAATTAAAAGCAATGAAACAATGGCAAATAAGATTTGGGTTACCATTTTGTGTTGTTTTTACTTGTCGAAACCATTTTTTCTGTTGTATTTGTCGATGCTTCTTTTGGCCATAATTTGCCCTTTTCGTGAGTAATTGGAGGTGAAAAGAGACTAATTAAGTTAAAATGCCCGGGATCAAAGCCTTCAATAACTTTTTGAGTTTGAATGTTATATTATTTGTTTATAATACCTCGCAAGCACAATAATTGTACATCAATTGGAGGTTATTGAGAGTAGTCAGAAATTATATTGTATATCATTTTTTACAGTAGTTAATAATATTTAAATCTTTCTCTTATATTTTGGGTCAAATTCTGTTACGGAAAGTCATGTGCAACACATATGTGACCAACAGGAAGGGATTGTGGAAGAGGTAATTGTTGCTATAGTGATCTGTGGGCACGATGTGAATGTTGTTGCAATGAAGGTTGTTCTTATTTAAGTAACAATAGCTCGTCAGCGATTAATGGAACCACCAGCAAGTCTATGCATGGTCAGTATTCTTGCTATATCCTACTCTCGCTGTCTCTATTATAATTGATTCGCTTATTCCTTCGCCCTTTAAAAAAAATTGATAACTAATTTCTCCAACTTTTCATCATCTTCTTTTGCCTTTTTTAATAAAAAAACAAAAGAATAATGCAAGAGAGGTTGCGTAGATGGTTTCCCGTGCAATTAAAATTATATACATATTTAGGAATACACTTACTTTGCCAAAGAATTTAAATTCTATTTTTCAAACAGTGGAACATTTCATATGTAGCTGAAATTCACTGTTTACATACACTAATCAACTTGACTCTTTTTATTGAGGACTAATTTAACATAATGAATTATCAATTAAAGGTTAGTCTTAACATTGAGAATCGTTTGTTTATGTATAAAGTATAACTTTCATTCAAAAATTCGACATAAGCTTAAGTAAAGATTTTATATACCATGACTAAGAGAAAAGACTTCAAAACTCTCTACCAGAATAGGAGTCAAGATTAACACACACAAAAAATCATGAGTGGGTATTTTGAATTTTTGAAACTTTCCAGCATAGATAATTCATAATCGAATACGTGATCAGTTCGTGAATAGTTGTATAATATGATATACTGAAAGAGATTTGTTTACCTGATACTGCTAGTGGGCAATCTGAAAGATGAGGCGGAGGAACTAGCATCAGAAGAGGGCAAGGCTAACAAGGAAGGAGCAGGTCAACCTTGAGGACAAGGTTGATTTCAAGGAGGAGGGATTGTTAGAAACAGACTTTTGCGATATTTATCAATTTGTTTATGTTTTGCAGCTATGAAAGTATTTTGGATGGTTGGGAGTTAATTGAGTTTTTTTTTGTATGGAATTAAAGTATTGGTAGTTATAAAAAAAAGTATTGGTAGTTAGTAGGAATAGTTTGGTTATTTATTATAATGGAATAGGAATAGTTTGATTTATATTTAGTAATCGTGGAGGCTTTTCTCATCAAACAAATATATAACAAAAACCCAAAATCCTATTTCTCTCCCCTCCACTTTCTCTCTCTTTTTCGGCCTTGTCCTTCCTTTTCTCACTTTGTCTCGAAATCCTTCCCTAAGTTTTATTCTTCTAATCCCTAATCTCCCAATTCGCCAATTCTACTACTATCACCAATTGTGAAACCCTATACGAAGATGTCTAGATCTATAATTCTTACACAAACTTTCATATCAACAATGCAAATTCAACATTTTATGTAGTACAAACTCTAATGAATGGTAGCAAAGCATACACTACTAGCTTTTATTTAAAGGGTATATTAGCTCATACAAAGTGACTCTAGACTTTTCTGAGACGCTTCTTCCATGAACGGGCCAAAGCCGACAAACTACCCCTACCAGGCTTCCTCCTCGGCCCATATTCCTAAGAAAAATAAGGAAATAATTAGCATTCGGGCTTTTACATGTGGTCGTAGCCCACCAATGAAACCTACTCCGCCAATCCTCCCGCACTACCGTCCAGACTGTGACTGGGCCGAATGGGACTATGATGCAAATTGTGGAGCTACAACTATGGGAAACAAAAATGGCGACAGCTCTTCCCAAGTCGGTCACAGTCAGAACTAAGCGAGGTATACAAAAATCATGCTTTGGAAATTGCCTGCGAAGTTCACTCGAATGAAGACTCTACATATTTGGACCAAACCAAAGAACAAAAAGCGAAATCAAGAGCTCGGATTGCATCGTTAACTCTGCAAGAGATTAAGTCTTGGACAACCGCTGCTACTCCGACAAATAAGACGGTTGGAGCAAATGCTCTGGACGCTCGCCTGAGCAGACAACAGTGGCAACTGGGCTGGAGGAAGCGAGGAACACCCTTCCCTCAGCACTTCTATCCTTTCTTTCACTGTCTTCTTTTCTTCTGCTTTAATTGCTATTTTATGTCAATGTTGACAACCACTAACTTAAATATCTTTTCTTGGAATGTTGGACGGGCTGAAAGCAGAGCATTTACGCGAGCGCTGAAGCTGACCATCTAGAAACACCGTCCAAACTTGGTCATCTTGCTTGAGCCTCAAGTCAGTGGCGATGCGGCTAACTCCATTTGCGACAAGTTGGATTACCCACTTTCGATGAGATTTGAGGTTGAGGGCAGAGAAGGATGCATTTGGGTGTTCTGGGATGCTAACATCTTCTCGGCTACCTTGTCTTCAGCCTGTACGCAGCACATATCACTTTGAATTTCTTAGTCCAACATGGCTCATTGGATGCTAACGGCAGTGTATGCTTCGCCCAGACAAAACCACAACGTATTCGTTGGGATAACCTCATTATTAGAGATAGATTAGGAATAATCTTATATTTCCTTATCCTTCTAATATAGTTCTTAGTATTTTCGTGTCCTTCTAGCATTGTGGTTCTCTTACTTATTCTTCAAGTCTTGTAATCTATATAAACCCCTTTGTGGTTTCATAATAATACAAGCTACAAGTTACTATTCCTAAAACTCCTATATGGTATGATCAGAGCCTCTTGCTTAACAGCCTACTGATCCAGGAACCCTAAACCTTTTTTTTCCTTTTTCTCCCTTCACCGGCGGGATGAGCCCGCACTCACCCGGTCGTTTTTCCCTTCCGTTCATTAGTCCTCTTGCATTCCCTAATTCCTATTACTAGTTTATTTATAAGTTATAACTATTGTACTCGTTTGCCTTGTTTTTCGGGAACGGATCAGGTCAGTAACCTTATGATGAGTAACCATGAGTAAACCGCCCACATCAGCATCCCTCTCTCTCCTAGAAAGCCTTTAATTTTCCCCTCCTTAATCTTTGACGGACAATTTCTCACTCGTTTTAAGTCAAAATTTAATTATTTTTGCACAGTTAGATCAGATTAATTGTGTTCTTCAAAATGATATCCACTTTGATATATTTTTCGAACAAAAAAAATTGAGCCATTTTTTACCAGTCTATACCATATGATATTGACTGGTATTGAAATAAGAGCATACCTATGGTTTGAAAAGCGTACCATGGTGGTATGAACAAGTCAAGACTGTAGGATTGTTGAATACATTATAAGAGAAGTATATTAACTGTCATTTACGACTTTTAACATTGTGTACCACAAGATACCAGCCCGTACCAGTGTGGTATTGTGTGGTATTTTTTGGTCATGTAATTTGTTCACTCAGAAATTTGTAGATCCAATAGATCATGATAAACTCGTTCATTCTGTGCAAACGTTTTCAAAAATGAATTAAAAACAAAGAAGATGCCATATGGGGCAAAACCGTCAACCAGTACTGAAGTTGACAATCAGGTGGATCTAGTCTTTCCGTAATGGCTCTAACCAGTCCCCTCACTGACTCAACAGCAGAAGTCGAGACAAGAAGAAGCAGAGATAACACCGATGCAGAATGGACATCGGGATAAGTCTGATAGGCTGCTGAGACACAACTCGAGGCACGACGACATCTGATATGTCTCGTAGTCTCAGAAATATGTGTTGTGCCATAGATGATTTTACTCCAAATCCTGGAAGTTTGAATGGAAAGCCATATGATTGTCTACCTCTGTAAAATGTTTCATTTGCTTTCTGAAACCAAGTTTCATTTGAGGTGCCTGTAAGACAAAATGTTGGAGGGAGGTGTCGTGATATTCGTTGATGTGATCTCTTTTGTGCTTCTTTCTCTCTTGCACAATTCTCGCCCGCCTTGCTTTCTGATTGCAACTAGAGCCTCGCATCGAGGTTTGATACTGGTAATGAGTGTGCTACGATTGGAGCTGTAAAGCGCTTGTAGAGGCACGCAACGAGTTGTGCAGGTCGATGACAGGTTATCTCTGGTCGTTCCATCTTCTTGCGCATGGCACATGATTTTGCAGGCAATAATATCCAGGACACTTTTCCATGCAATTTTTTGGGGCTAAATCGACATCTGTGATGTGATATAAGAATTTGAATACACACAACATTGAGAAGAAAACCAAACGCCAAATTGCATAATTGTTACATACCAGAAAATTCACAAGGAAACTACAAAGGACCAGTTTAGATATGGTTGTACAGCTCAAGAAACAAGCATAAGAAACTAAATAGTAAATCCTCAGAATTCAAAAAGATAAAAACACACTAAAATATCAAAGCTGCTGGGGGTTTAAGGTGCAACAATGGTTCAGTTCAGCCCAGAACATCTGGATACAAAAGAGCTACACTCTCGAGAACTATACATACAACAAAATATTTATTCAGAAGCGATGGACTAAATGAGCTTTTGACTCCTTTGAGAAGCAAACCAGAGAATCACTGCTCCAATGTGAATGTTATCTATCTATCTATCTATCTATCTATCTATCTATCTATCTATCTATCTATCTATATATTCCCTCAGCATCCTGTCCAAGACAAATGTGTCGACTGCATCCTCCTCCACAATCTGTAGAGATGAAACAGCTTGAGCTGCAATAAGACCAGTCGAGAATTCAGCCGTAGCTCCCCATCCCCGTTCATGACCAAAGTACGATCCCCGTACGTCCATTCCTCCAAGGGAGCCATAAGAGAACGACGCCCATTCACCACCATCGGCAGCACGGCAATGATGTGGGAGGAATGCTGCTCCACTCTTGTCCATGTAGATGTTGATATTTTTGGATGCACAACCCCACGGGTTGAACTCGAACCCTTCTTCTTTTTGTAGTACAATTTGGTGATAGGAATCATCAGTGGAGTCCTCGCCAAGCAGAACGTGCAGCGCTACTGCCTCTGCTATTGCAGCACCCTTTTTATCGAGTCTCTTTTGTTCTTCTTTCTTCTTCTCTAGTTCGGACCTCATGTCGGCTGAAGTAGCCAGTGCTTTTTCCAGGCGCCTCTTCTTCTTCTCGACCTGTTTGAGGCGGTCCATCTCGCCTTTCACCAGCTTCTTCTTTAGTTTCCTTACTACGGGTTTACCCGCTATGCTATCCATTTAAAACTTAAAACTGTCCCAAACCCTATGAATAATTAAGTTCTGTTTTTGCTCAATCTATAATGTAACCCTAGTGAGAAATCTGAAATCCTCCTCTAATCAGTGTACATGTTCCCCTATAATGTTAAAAGTGATTCACTACCCTAATTTTCAGTATCGACTATGGAACAGGAGCTATAAGTGGCTGAGAGCTACACCCACTCAGGTCTGTAGGAGTACCTCATTTTCCGAATGATGCAATCCCAGAAGGAGACAACGGGAGACAAGAGAATGACGAAATGGTAGCCATTAACTGATTTATCTCTGGACACCATTCCTCCTAGCTTTGCACAACCGTTGCATCTGCCAATCTTTTCATACACCAAGACAGAAGAGCCCAAAAACTAAATCCAGAACGACGGTGGAAGAAGCAACAATCACCAATATGGGACAAACTGCTCACATTGCCTTCTCTATTCCAGGAAAAAAACCCAGTAAAAACGCCAATCAAACATCACATACGCAAAAAAAGTGCAACACGGATTAAAAAGCCATTCAGGCAAATTCACACCGTACCATACAACAAAAATTGACAAACCGCACAGATCTAAGGCATTCATTCCACCAGGTAAAACGAACTGCGATCAGATCAAACACTCGACAGGACAATACTTCAAACCCCGAGAATTAGATCCGTTTCCATCTCACGATCAAATTACCTCAGATTCAAATAAAAACAAACAAAATATACGCCTGCCTAGAATTCCTTTTCGCAATTGATACACACCGATTGCTTCTGGAGTTCAAACAAAACAAACAAACAATGATCCAGAAATAATCCTCTACCCTCATCAGACCAATTCGCCACCAGGGACCCTAATCGGCCGAGTGACCTCCACAATTGATAAGTGGAACAGTAAATGAATCAATCAAACAGAGGGAGGAGGAGGAGGAAAGCCAAACCTCGTTTCCAATGGGTTGGAAGATGAGAAAAGCGCGAGAAGAGAACCTCCCCCTCGGATCGGGACAACGGACGCACGCACACGGAGAAAAGCACTGAGGAGAGAGTGAAGCACGCACACGGAGAAACTCGGAACTAGGTGGGAAAGGGTACGAAGGAAGGAAAGAGAGGGGAAGGGGGTGTTTGGATCTAGAGAAAGTACACAAATAGACAGAGAGAGAAAGAGGAAAAGAAGAAGCACAGAACTAAGAGAGAGAAAATAACTGATCACATGAGAGATTGGCCAGGGAAAGAAAACAGCGCGCAAAAAAAAAACAACCAAACGAGGGGGGCAACATGCTACCGTGCCAGTTGCGAATAGTAACTTGCCACGTGTCCTTCTGTGCTTTGCGTGTTGTGTCGTCGAGCGTGGGAAGAGTGTGGGTAAACCTAGAAATTCCGGATTTTTCCTTTTTCGTTTTTGGTATTTGTTTCTAGTTCTACTCCGTTCGTTTCATATTATGAAAAACAAAAGGGTTAATACCCTAGTTTGGCATGAAGTTTAGCATATATGTCAGTTTTTGCCCGATTTTTCTAATAAGGCATTTATGGCCTACTTTGCAAATTATTGGACAAATTTGGCCTGAAACTTAAATTGACTGTTAATACTGATCGTCAACTATTTTTCCGTCGGTTACTCAGCATCAAAATAGATCCAAGGTGGCCGCCACATCATTTATTTAGATTAAAAATTCAAAATAAAAACAAAAACAAAAAAACCCCCAAAATCCACTCTCCCATCTCCACCCTAACTCCCTCCCCTCACGACCCAATTCAACCCCCCACCCAATCGGAATCCATAACAATCATCGCAACCTATCTCACCACCATTTCCATCTTCAGTACCCTCACTCCATCTCCCCTACCGTTCTTTTTGCATGTTCGCTTCTGGTGCTGCTCCTTCGAGATCCCGTCCACAATATCAGAAGTCGCTGACGGTATCTCTTCTGCGGGGGCGAAATGGGGAGCTTTAGTGGCGACGGCGGCGGCGGTGCGACACACATGCATCCGACGAGTGCGTGTTGCCGAACCAAAGGGAAGGAGATGGTTTGACGATCTCCCTATCCCAGATATGTCGATCTCGTTGTCGCACCAAGAGGCGGCGGGGCGATCCTAGGGCAGAAGATGTTGGGTTGGTCCAACTCATATGGTGGTTGGATTAACCGGTTTGAGTTTGAGTTTGAGTTTTTGGTTGGTTTCTAGAAGATCCTCTATTTTCAAAATAGAGAGTTATTGTCTAGTTAAAAGTGAAAAAGAGGTGACAGCCTTTCATTTGGTAGAGAGAGAGAATTAAGAAAAGAGAAGAGATAAGGAAAACGAGAGAAGAGAGGAAGAGCTGCAGTTTTTCGTTTCTGCAGCAGGGCAGCCTGTTCAAGTGAGCGTTCTGGAAGATTGAACCGTTGGATCGTCCTGAAATTTGGACAGTGGGTTCGCGATTCTCTGGGCTTCATTCTGACCGGAGGGATCGTCATTCTGAGGTCTAGTTCGTCGGAATCGCTCCTGGACAGAAGGTGTACGAATCTGTCTTTTGGTATCTCTAAACCTCTCTTTGCCTTGCTCTTGTTCTTGTTATCCACCATGTTGGTGAGAGCTATTGTGGTTGATTTTTGATCCAAGAAGGGTGTTCTTGAGGTGTTTGTAATCCTCTAGCTAGTCTAGAGAGGACTTGTAATCCCACCAAAGTCTAGTGGAGTTGTGGCTTGGACAAAGGTCCCGTGGTTTTTCCCGATTTGGGTTTTCCACGTAAAAATCGTGTGTCTTGTGCATTCTATTCTTGCTTGTGGTTGCTGCCCGGTTTCTCAACAGTGGTATCAGAGCATTAGGTTGTTTGGGGGCTGTGTTTGGTGAATGGCAAGAATGGATGACTCAAGTGGAGCAATGATTAAGTTGACATCATCCAACTACTCTATTTGGAAGCCACGGATGGAGGATATTCTGTTTTGCAAGGATCTCTATGAGCCAATTGAAAATGGCAGCGAGAAGCCGGAAGACAAAACCGAGAAGCAATGGGAGGTCTTGCATAGAAAGGCGGTGGCAATCATTCGACAATGGATTGACCAAAGCATCTTTCATCATGTTGCAAAAGATACAAGAGCAGATGAATTGTGGCAGAAATTGGAGTCCATGTATGAGAGGCAATCGGCTCAAAATAAAGCCTCACTCATTCGAAGAATTGTGAACTTGAAGTACAAGGATGGACATAGTGTCTCGGAGTATTTGAGTGACTTTCAAGGGCTTGTGAACCAGCTAACTACTATGAAGTTAGCACTTGATGATGAAGTGCAAGCATTGTTACTTCTTAGTTCTTTGCCGGATAGTTGGGAGACTTTGGTGGTCTCACTTAGCAACTCAGCACCTAATGGCAAGTTGACGATGGACATTGTGAAGGATAGCATGCTGAATGAAGAGGCAAGGAGAAAAGAGTTGGGGATTACATCAGAGTCACATGCTTTGGTGGCGGATAATTCTGGAAGTCGTGGAAGAAGCAGAAATCGAAATTCCAACTTCAAGAACTCTCAGAATCGAAGTAACAGCCGAGGGAGATCAAAAGGGAGATCAAAATCATTGTCAAGACCAAGAGGAGAAATCACATGTTATCATTGCAACCAGCCCGGACACATGAAGGGAGAGTGCAGAATCTTGAAACGGGAACAAGCTAGAGGAAAAGGTGTGGAAAACCGAGAAAAAGATGATACTACTGCTGCTGCCACAGATGGTGATGTAGTCATTGTTTGTGATGCCGGTTTTGTTAACCTTGCTTGTCAAGAGAGTACATGGGTTGTTGACTCGGGTGCCTCATTTCATGTGACCTCACGGGTTGATCTTTTCTCTTCCTACACAAACGGTAACTATGGTTGTGTGAGGATGGGAAATGATGGCGCATCAAAGATTGTTGGCATGGGTGATATTCATCTAGAGACCAACACGGGTTGCAAGCTAGTCTTGAAGGATGTGAGACATGTTCCTGACATGAGGCTGAATTTGATATCCACGGGAAAGCTTGATGATGATGGTTATACCAACTATTTTGGAGAAGGAAAATGGAAGCTCTCAAGAGGTTCTCTTGTGGTGGCCAAAGGCAAGAAGGAAAGTACGCTCTACATGACAAATGCAAAGCATAGCAAGGGAGGAATCAATGTTGCTGAGAAAGATTCTTCCATTGAGCTTTGGCATAAGAGACTCGGTCATTTGAGCGAGAAGGGGCTGCAAATACTCTCCAAGAAACAACTCTTGCCCGGAGCTAAAGGTACTCTTCTTAAAACTTGTGTTGATTGCTTAGCCGGAAAAACTCATAGAGTTGCATTTCATAGATTTCCACCTTCTAGAAGGAGTAAGGTACTTGATCTAATTCACACCGATGTTTGTTTTATGCGAGATAAAACTCTTGGTGGTGCAAGCTATTATGTTACCTTCATCGATGATCACTCAAGGAAGGTGTGGACATATGCTTTGAAAACGAAGGATCAAGTGCTAGATGTTTTTAAGCAATTTCATGCTGAAGTGGAAAGGGAAACGGCCTCAAGTTGAAGTGTGTAAGGGCTGATAACGGGGGAGAGTATAGAGGTCCATTCGAAAGCTACTGCAGATTGCACGGAATTAAACTGCAGAAAAGTGTACCCAAGACTCCACAACAAAACGATGTCGCCGAGAGGATGAATAGAACAATTTGTGAGAGAATCAAGTGTATGCTCTCACATGCCAAGCTACCTAAATCATTTTGGGGAGAAGCAATGCGGACAGCTGTTGATCTAATCAACCTTTCGCCATCGGTCCCTTTGGAGGGTGACGTGCCTCAACGAGTATGGACCGGAAAGGAAGTCTCATATGAACACTTGCGAGTGTTTGGTTGCAAAGCCTATGTTCATGTTCCAAAAGATGAGAGAGCAAAACTTGATGACAAAGCAAAGCCATGTATATTCATGGGCTATGGGCGTGAAGAGTTTGGTTACAGATTATGGGATCCAATTGCAAGGAAAATTGTTCGGAGCCGGGATGTGATTTTTCTTGAAGATGAGACAAGTGAAGATGTCGAAAGGGGTGAAAACAAGAAAAATACAGCAGCTGGTCCGGTTAATTTGGAGCCTATATCTCCATCCCAAATGCATGAAAATGATGAGGAAGTAGTGCATGATGAGCCCCAAGGTGCACTAGATCAAGAAGTGCAAGGAGAAGAGCAATTGGAGCAAGAAGAACAAGTTGAAGAAGAGCAACCTCTACCCGAACCAAGAAAGTCAACAAGAGATCGCAAAACTTCCACTTGGTACTCCCCTCATGAGTACCTATTGTTGACTGACGGGGGAGAACCCGAATATTATCAAGAAGCCATGTCTCATGAAGACAAGGAGGAGTGGAACAAAGCAATGCAAGAAGAGATGAAGTCTTTGCAAGAGAATCACACCTATGATTTGGTGAAACTACCCAAAGGAAAAAGATCACTTAAGAACAAGTGGGTCTACAAGTTAAAGACGGAGGAAACTAGTTCAAAGCCTCGGTTTAGGGCGCGACTAGTTGTGAAGGGGTTCAACCAAAAGAAAGGTGTTGACTTTGAAGAAATTTTCTCTCCCGTGGTGAAGATGTCTTCTATCCGAGTTGTGCTTGGGTTGGCTGCAAGTTTGGACTTGGAAGTTGAACAACTCGATGTGAAGACGGCGTTTCTTCATGGTGACTTAGAAGAAGAGATATACATGGATCAGCCGGAAGGGTTCGAGGTTAAAGGCAAAGAAGATCTTGTATGCAGATTGAGAAGGAGCTTATATGGGTTGAAGCAAGCACCAAGACAATGGTACAAGAAATTTGACTCATTCATGGTCAAAAACGGGTATGCAAGAACTACCTCCGATCATTGTGTGTTTGTGAAATACTTTGCTGAAAATGATTTCATCATTCTCTTGCTTTACGTGGATGACATGTTGATTGTGGGTCGGAATGTTGGAGAGATTGATAGATTGAAAAAGGAGTTGAGTAAATCCTTTGCCATGAAGGACTTAGGACCGGCGAAACAAATTCTAGGGATGAGAATCTCTAGGGATCGAAAGAATGGAAAAATTTGGTTGTCTCAAGAAAGGTATATTGAAAGAGTTCTTGAGCGGTTCAACATGAGCAAGGCTAAGGCGGTTAGTACTCCACTTGGAGGACATTTCATATTGAGTTCGAAGCATTGTCCTACAAGTGAGGAAGAGAAAGAAGCAATGAAGAATGCGCCTTATGCATCAGCTGTTGGGAGTTTGATGTATGCTATGGTTTGAACAAGACCGGATATTGCTCATGCAGTTGGGATTGTCAGTCGTTTTCTCTCCAATCCGGGGAAAGAACATTGGACAGCAGTGAAGTGGATTCTTTGCTACTTGAGAGGTACTTCTAGAGTGTGTCTATGCTTTGGTAATGGCAAGGCCATACTTGATGGATATACCGATGCTAACATGGCAGGTGATGTGGACTCTAGAAAGTCGACTTCTGGATACATGATGACTTTTGCAGGTGCTGCAGTTTCATGGCAATCTAAACTGCAAAAATGTGTTGCATTATCAACAACAGAAGCCGAGTACATAGCTGTGACAGAAGCTTGCAAAGAGATGCTATGGTTGAAGAAGTTTCTTCAAGAGTTGGGCATCAAGCAAGAGAGGTATGCGCTCTATTGTGACAGTCAAAGTGCAATCCATCTTTGCAAGAATCCAACTTTCCACTCAAGGTCGAAACACATAAATGTTCGATATCATTGGATTCGTGATGTTTTGGAAGAGAAGTTGTTGGAGCTCAAGAAAGTGCATACGGATGACAATGGTTCGGACATGATGACTAAGTCTCTACCAAGTGGAAAACATATCTTCTGTCGGGATGAAGCAGGTTTGGTGCTACCCCCCATATGAGCTGGAGGGGGAGATTTGTTGGGTTGGTCCAACTCATATGGTGGTTGGATTAACCGGTTTGAGTTTGAGTTTTTGGTTGGTTTCTAGAAGATCCTCTATTTTCAAAATAGAGAGTTATTGTCTAGTTAAAAGTGAAAAAGAGGTGACAGCCTTTCATTTGGTAGAGAGAGAGAATTAAGAAAAGAGAAGAGATAAGGAAAAAGAGAGAAGAGAGGAAGAGCTGCAGTTTTTCGTTTCTGCAGCAGGGCAGCCTGTTCAAGTGAGCATTCTGGAAGATTGAACCGTTGGATCGTCCTGAAATTTGGACAGTGGGTTCGCGATTCTCTGGGCTTCATTCTGACCGGAGGGATCGTCATTCTGAGGTCTAGTTAGTCGGAATCGCTCCTGGACAGAAGGTGTACGAATCTGTCTTTTGGTATCTCTAAACCTCTCTTTGCCTTGCTCTTGTTCTTGTTATCCACCATGTTGGTGAGAGCTATTGTGGTTGATTGTTGATCCAAGAAGGGTGTTCTTGAGGTGTTTGTAATCCTCTAGCTAGTCTAGAGAGGACTTGTAATCCCACCAAAGTCTAGTGGAGTTGTGGCTTGGACAAAGGTCCTGTGGTTTTTCCCGATTTGGGTTTTCCACGTAAAAATCGTGTGTCTTGTGCATTCTATTCTTGCTTGTGGTTGCTGCCCGGTTTCTCAACAGAAGAAACAGCCGGAGATGATGGCGACGACGACGAGCTAGCTTGGACAACGCCGACATGTCCTGGGTGGCATCGACGTTGGGGATTGATTCGAACTGGAAGCGACTGGTGAGGCCTTCTAAGACGGCGGGTCGTGAGTTTCATTCAGGGCGGAGAATTTCGCCAGGGCCGGGGAGAAGAAGACGAGACGGCGGCGCTGAGTTTTGATTAAGGTGGCGATTTGGGTAAGGGAGAAAGAGGGGAATGGGCTGGCGGGTTAGATTATTTAGGGTTTCTTTGTTTTTTTATTTTATTTTAATTGAATTAAAATATTAAAATAATAATATTTAATGACGTGGCATGCCACATCGGCTGTTTTTTGCTGAGTCACTAACGGAATAGTGTTTGACTGTCAATATTAACAGTCAAAGAAATTTATGGGCCAAATTTGTCCAATAATTTGGAAAGTAGGCCATAAAGGTCTTATTAGAAAAGCCAGACCAAAACTGACACTTACGTTAAATTTCGGGCTAACCTCGGTATTAACCCAAAAGAAAATCACACAATACAGGAGCAGCCACTTAACTATATGCTGTCGCAACAAATGGGTCACAGAATCTGAATTGTCTACAATGGCTCCAGTTAAATGCACTTAGATTCTCAATCAGTAGCCCAATCAATTCAAAGCCTCAGTTCATCTAATTAAGCCTTAAAATGGGCCCAATGTTTAGCACGCAGATCGAGTCCATGGATCGGGCCCAATTTGGCACAAAAAAGCCTGGCTTTTGGAAACAAAGGATTCTTCCCCGTTTCGCTCGAAAAAGATTCCCCTGCAACCTTCCACTCTGATCCAATCGGAAATGGAAAAGCCGAAAAGAGATGTGCTGAGCTGAACTCTTCTTCTTCCTTCCAATCAATCCGCCATTAATTTTCTCCATTTTCACTCCTTCTCCACCCTAGATTCTTCAGCAATGCTGTCTCTCAAACCGCTCCCGCTGAGTCACAACCCTTCATTCCTCCATTCCTTAACCCCATTCACTCCTCCGCCTTTCCCCAGAACCCAAACCCTAAAACCCTCTAAGCACGCCTCGCCGCCGTCGGCGATTCAGTCGGCACTCCAGTGGAACAGGAAGCCCGAGCTAGCCGGCGAGACCCCGCGCGTGGTCGTCATCACCTCCGGGAAGGGTGGCGTCGGGAAGACAACCACCACCGCCAACATCGGCATCTCCCTCGCCCGTCTAGGGTTTTCCGTCGTCGCCGTCGACTGCGACGTCGGCCTCCGCAATCTCGACCTCCTCCTGGGCCTTGAGAATCGCGTCAATTACACGTTAGTTGAGGTCCTCAACGGCGACTGCCGACTGGACCAAGCCCTGGTCCGCGACAAGCGCTGGTCCAATTTCGAGCTCCTCTGCATTTCCAAGCCTCGATCGAAGCTCCCGCTCGGATTCGGAGGCAAAGCCCTGGTATGGCTCGTCGACTCCCTCAAACAAAGACCAGAAGGCTGCCCGCAATTCATCCTCATCGACTGTCCCGCCGGAATTGACGCCGGGTTCATCACGGCCATCACACCAGCAAACGAGGCCGTGCTGGTGACGACTCCGGACATCACCAGCCTGCGCGATGCCGATCGGGTGACCGGATTGCTTGAGTGCGATGGGATTAGGGATATAAAGATGATTGTGAACAGGGTCAGGACTGATATGATAAAGGGAGAAGATATGATGTCTGTTCTGGACGTTCAGGAAATGTTGGGGTTGGCATTGCTAGGAGCCATACCAGAGGATTTGGAGGTGATCAGGAGTACGAATCGTGGGTACCCTCTGGTGTTGAACAAGCCCCCAACTTTGGCGGGATTGGCATTCGAGCAGGCGGCTTGGAGGCTTGTTGAACAGGATAGTATGCAGGCTGTCTTGGTTGAGGAAGAGCCCAAGAGAAGAGGGTTGTTCTCTTTCTTTGGTGGGTAGCAATGGTTTTCTCATGGCCATATAGTTCCAGTAATAAAATGGTTATGGAGTCAAGGATGGAAAGCGAGGATGGAGATCATTGACGGGATTCAAGGAGAAGCAGTGTACAGGGGAACAGTGATGTTCTTTTTTTGCTTTTACCCCCTCTGGGTTATATCCATTGTTTGCAGTGCCGGAGTGGGGTGCTGCTAAAACTGCAGCCCTCCCTGTTTTGGTTCTTCTTATGGTAGCTGATTGTGGTTATTATTCTTTTTGTAGTAAATTTGCAGGATGTCTTTCTTTTGTTCTGGATATTGAAAGTGGATCATGATTTCAACGTAGTTGAGTTAAAACTTGCCTTATTGTTTAAGCTCATGGAGTAGGATTATTTGTGAACATGGAATACCCTCTGGCTTTATATTGCCGGACGATCCATACGAGCTGCAATTGATCATCCTCAGCTTTCTCCATCCCATGCTTAGTGGAGTTCGAAATCCACTTTAGAGTTTTGGATTGCAACAAGGACTTGGTTTTATGGGGGTTATGGGATTCAGATTGCCAAGATCGGGAATATAGCAGAGCGTACCTGGTCTGAAATCCGTTTCTGAAGCTGTGGACTGCTCTTTCTGTGGTGCAACCGGCTGCAAGGTTAGTTTGTGAACCCCGTATATTTCTATTAGGCTTGATCTGGGAGATGACCAAGCATTTTGCCTTATTCTGAGTATCGCTTCCAGGTGGTGTGTTTATATCAAGTCGATGTACTTAACCGCCAGGCCATAAAGCTTGACGTGTTTTGTTCCGAGTCTGGAAAATGGACAAAGGATGCTCTTGTCTGTGCTCATCATATTAGTAGTGCACAAAAAATTGTAATTTCGTGCAATGGGGAGTTGTTTTGGAAGTATCATGAATTTAGTGAACCGTTTAATGTTAATTTGGTGGCTAGGTTTAATCCTTTCCCCTTGATATACCTCCCACGTCTATTGTCTCTTCTTCATTGTGTAACTATGAAGTTGAGGGCTGTTATGATGAGCCTTTGTCTTTTTCAGTCCGGTTGATGGTATATATAAGAATGCCATATTGTGCTGCGATTTGGGAAGGCAAGAGCTAGAGTTCTTCGCTAAGCTCGAATGGCCTGATGTCCATCACCTTGAGGTGTTCCAGCCAAGGGTTTCTTGCTGGGGTACTCCAATTCCCAGGTACGAGGGGTTGCAAGGTAGCCGCTACCGAGCAGCTGTGAAGCGATCACTCCCTCCCTCCAGTCACTCTCAATAATTGGTAACTGCTTCTGCCTGTAAAAGTTAGATTTTTTCTGCTTTTGCATGTTTGTTAAGTTTAAGGAATTAACTAAACGAGAACAATAACGTTACAAGTAAATCTTTCATAGGGGGGAAAAGTTATCCCGCAACCTTTATCTCATAACAGGTAACAGGTTAAGATGTACTGTTTTGGGCGTGCCTAACTTACTAACTGAAGCAGCACATACTTACATCTCTTGTCAATTGCTTGAGCATTTTGTTTTGGTTGCCTACTCTTTGAAGCTACACTTCAAGAATGTTGTCGATGATAAAGTTGCACATGGACGTTGTATGTTTTTTTCTTTCATTTTCTCTCTATTTTCTGGTTGCTGTTCCTATATTTCATCTCATTTCTGTTGTAGCTGGTATAGTTGCTCCAACTGGTAGCTGTCTGTTCATTGTGTACCATGGTTTCTCTGTTAGTCCTTCAGGGGATCCAGAAAAAGTTCCCCAAATTGATGAAAAGGTACAAACAAACACACTCAGTGTTGGAAACTGATTTGAATGATGTTAGAGCTAATATGGCTGCTGTGAAACAGCTGAGCTTTCTTATCCTCCTCAAGGTTATAAGTTTTGTAGGTTGAGTTTCATTTGTTTAATATATAATACTCGTTACTTGTGGCGGATTCTGATTCTGTGATCATTATCCTCCATTCCCAGGCCCGGTAAAAAATGTCTTCTGGAGGGTGGGTTGGCCATGGAAGGATATTTTGGGAGACGTGGTACAGCAATGTAAAACCGTAGCTTTATCCTTCCATTATCTATTTTCTAAATACGCGCATAGATGCTTTTAGCTTGATGGGGAATAGTTATCATGCTGTAGTTGCTAGCAGCTGTAGTTCAGCATTAAGTTCTTGTTCATGTGGAGGCCTCCTACTATTAGTTTGGTTTGGCCTTGTTTCTTTGTGGTCTCTCTCTCGCTCTCTCTCTCTCTCTCTCTCTCTCTCTCTCTCTCTCTCTACACAGTTTTTTTGCCCTCTTCATCTTTTGTGGTAGCTAGGCTTTCTCTAGTAATGGTAGATGGGATCTCAAATCGGCCTTTTTCTGTTTTCCCGTGATTTTAGGCTGCTAGTCCATTTTCCCTGGTAGATAAGATTGTAAATCTGACTGACTTTTTGCCTGTCATTTCTTAGGAGTTGTTTGTTTGGTATATTTGAACACTATTGTGTACTAAATGACTCAATTGATACATTTGGTGCACAAGCCATAAGACGTTTGTGAATGGGGGAAAATGAGGAATTCAGAGGTGATGTGAATTCCCTGAATCCTTCTTCGCTCTCACTATCTCTTGGTTTAGTTAGTTCCATTTTAATTTTTCTCAATTTCAATCGGATCTATGTTTTCACTTGACCCTTGTTTCAATTTTGGACCATTTATGAATCCTAGATACTCGATAAGCCTCGTGATGTTGGTGGAAGAGCATCAGAAAGAAGAGGAGATTATACATCAAGGTTTTTTCCGGGAAAAGAGCAACATTGATGCGTACGTGGGCTTAGGAGGATTCATTGATAGTAGTTGTGTTACCCTTAATTAATTCCGAGTTAGTTTCAATTATTTATTGTTTAGGAATTGTATCCAATTACAAGTGTTTTAAAGTAGTCTCTTTAGGGGAAGTTAAAGTAGTCTCTTATAGGATTAGTTTTAGGGTCATGTCGTTTCCATAGATAAACATTAGAGGTGGCAATTAGGATTCAAATCCATGAATTGAATCCAATCCATCCCCAAATTATTTATTTGATCTTATCCATTTGATCCAAATTCAATTGGATTGGTGAATTCATGGACCCAAATGGCAAATTACGATTTATGGGTCGTTTGCTTGTTGGATTTGGGTCATGGATTTGGTACCTAAATCCCAAGCTTGATGGATTTAACATAAGTCCATTGTTTGTTGAAGGGTGCTAAATCCGTGGGGTCCACGGATTTGATCTTTATTTTGGAACCAAATCCGTGGACCCCACGGACTTGTAAATCTCACATATTGATTTGGGATTTGCAAATCTTTGATGGTTAGTTATTTATTTAACAAATATATTGTTGGAAATTTGGTTGAACCGGACTAACCAAGTCAAACCGGTTTTGGGTTGGACCGACCAACTGGTTTGGTATTAGACCGACCGAACCGATATTCTAATTCCGTGAAGGGACACATCCCTTTGACCTATTGGCGGTTGCATTATTTTATGGATAAGAATAACCTTATGGATAGAGGCAACCCTTCATATGGATAAGGATAACCTTTCATATGGATAGAGGCAACCTTTCATATGGATAAAGGCAACCTTTCGTATGGATAAATGCAACCTTTCATGAAACAATGCATGGATTCGGCCCCTATAAATATGTGTGGGGTGGATGATGCCAAAAACCATCAAACATATTCTTCTTCTTTCTTCCAAAAATTTCTAAGTATGCTTTAGTGTTCTTGAGCCTGGAAACTAAAGTGGTGATAGTTTTATCCTCGGGAGAAATTTCCTGTAACCCTAGGCTTGTTGAGGGTGGAAATATTCTTTTCGGAAAGTGAACGTATTTCACGACTCTATCATAATCCTGGTCACCCGGTCTCGGGCTATCGTACGTGTACCCTCGTCCCTAAAAGTCCCAACAGTCGAAAAGAATATTTTCCGGTACGATGGCTCGAACCGCTCTTTACAAGAAACCGGTTGCGGTCTATGGAATTATGAGAATGTTCGATGATGGGTTTTTCATCGATGGCAGTAGAAGATGGGTTTTCTTCGTACTTGTCTCATGGTGTATTCCATATCCGGAAGGTAACTTGGAAGAGGGATGATTCGAAGATGGGGAAGAAGGAGAATGCTTCATAAAAATGGAGAAATAGAAGAATGACAATTGCCTTTGTGTAGGTTACATACTCAAGGGTTAATTAGTCTAATTCTCTATTCGACATTTACGAAGTTCTAGATAAATTTGGATTTGTCTAGTGGTTTGGTGGTTTGATTTTGTCTAGTGATTTATGTTATTTTAAACCAAGGAGACAAAATTGTATATACAATGTTTGATGATTCTGGTAATAGAGTCGTTGTGTTTGTATGTAGATGACATATTTATCTTTGGGACCAATCAAAGATAAGTGATTTTGTCAAGTGGTTTATGTTATTTAAACCAAAGAGACAAAATGTGTACACAATTTATGATGATTCTGGTAATGAAGTCATCGTACATTTGTATGTATAAGATATGCGTATCTTTGGAACCAATAAAAGATAAGTGAACTTTGATAAAAAAAGTTGCTATTTTCAATTCTCCATGTAGAACATGGGGTAGGCAAATGTGATTCTGTGTATTGAATCAAGCGGAACGACAAAGAAGAGTCCTTCTCTCAATTTTTCTGCATGAGAAGGTACTTGCATAAATTCCATAGTAGGAATTGTAGTGAGTTAAAGACCCCAATGGATCCAAGTATGGAACTTATGGTTAATACTGGAAATCAGTTTTACAACTGGAGATGTATGCATGACTTACATGATGCTAGATATCGCATATGCGATAGAACAATTAAGTTGGTACATGATGAATCCTAGTTCTCATAATTTGAAATGAAATGAGGTGTGTACTTGGATATTTCAAAGGCACACTGTATTGACTTATAGTGGCTTTCCATCAATTTTGGAAAGGATTTGTTGATGTTAGTTGGATTTATCATGTTAAAGGTGATACTTCAACATTGAGATGGGTCCTCTTGCTTGGGATAGGTGCCATAATTTG